TTTTTTTTTTTTTTTTTTTTTTTGGGGTGTGTGTGTGTGGAGAATCGAATGTATTTGGAAAAACATTGTGTAGCATTATCCCTTCTCATGTGGCTGATTCAGAAAGTTTGGGCATGGGATTAAATGGTTAAAACTTGATTTGATTGAGTTGGTATTATAGAAACGGATTGTAAAATGAGGCCCATACACACATGACCTAAAGATATGTCCTAAAGGCCCTAATTTAGATTATCACTCTGTCTATATACCCAATTCAGTTGGTCAATGTAAAATATTCGCACGATGATGAATGGTGATAATTTAGACATTGAATTTATTTGGTATTCAATCTGAACGCGATAATGAATTCACAGAAACATGAAAGTTGAAACGGCCATTGCCAAAAAAGATGCATGACAAGAAATTCAAGAATCGACCAATGAAAAATAATAGTGAGAAGGGGTGTGGTCAGTGGACCTGGCCGCATCCAGAGAAATAATCTCTTTCATTTTCTTTGCTCCACTTGATGGTGAGAGACGATTGATTTTGCCTCTTCCTTTTCTTGGGTCCACTTCAACTTGTGTGAAAATTTTCCCTTCCAAGGAATAAAAGCTAAAACCCAAAACCTACAAAGATTCTTTCCGCAGAAATTGGTGCAACTCTAAAAATTTGTTTGGAGGTAGCCAGAGCTCCTAAGTTTGTGTCTTTTTCTTGCTAAAAGAATCCAAAATGGTTACCAGACGACCCTAACAATTTATGGCTAGGTTTTGACGGGTGGCTAAGGATTACAAACTGTGAACCCTGAACAAGCTGGTGGAAGAAATATCCTGCTCAAGGATGAAAATATCAGCCGTTACGCTATATTGGCCAATGTCGATATTTCTAGGTATCGACATAGGGGTAAGCCTATTTCTTAACTAAATAAATCATTCAATACTCTAACACACATACACACATTGCAAACTCAAAACTACAAGAATATAAGAGAGGCCATCTTTGGAAGTTTTTTTTATTTGGTTAAGAACTCTTGTTGAGAGTTGAAAGGTCCAAGTGAAAGTTCAGAATATAGAGTCTATAGACTGATAAAGGAGCTATGCATTATGACCAATTCATCCACATAACCTTACTCACATTGTTCCATCAATTGAGATTAACAAATCAGCAATGAGGCAAAACTTGGGCAAAACTCAAGTAATCAGATATCTTAATCAACACCTGCAGCTTAGCATATACTATGAATTTTGAAAATTTCATCCACATAAAGTATTAATGGTGAGACTTGGCCAATTGATTCTCATAACCCCTCCAAGTTCGAATTACTACATACACAAGCTACTAAAGTACTAATAGAAATTGCACAACATTAATCAGGACAGAACTGTTCTATACATACCATGAGTTCCACTAGCTAGATCAACGACTCGTCTCCAGCTTCTGCCAATTCAAGAAACAGATATTACATGTTTCAATTCTCTAAATCCAATGAAGCTCAAGGTGCCAATCATATATAAGATGGGAAGTTATACCTTTCCCTGGAACGATTACAACAGGAGCTGATTTACAGTTGTGCATGCAATACTCGCTGACACTTCCCTGTAGTACACTGCAGAAATCCCACAATAAATGTGAGTAAGTGATCTGCGTTTGAGAGAGAGAGAGAGGGACCTTTGAATGAAATAGTTGAAATAAATGGGAGGAAATGGGAAGGCCGAGAAAGAGAGAGAGAGACCTTTGAATGAAGCCCCTGCCTCTGGTACCCAGGATAACAGCTGCAGGCTTTACACGCTCTGCTTCCTTGCAAATTACCTTACCTGGATCTCCTTGCACAATTCGTGCAATCGTCCTCACCTATTCCCATAGAGATTGTTCAAAATTTAAACATAAAACGATCGAAGGAAAGTAAATCATCTGAAGTTGGTTATCATGAATTTGTGTGTAATATATTCTACCACACAACTCCCATTCACGAGATTTGAACTAAAGAATTCCTCAAACAAAGGTGGAGACTAAATTCTACTAAAGCAAATGGTCATTGACTACGTTGGGGTTATCCAAAAAATATTGCAGTAAATTAAGCTTATGCATTAGAATGACATATTATATACCAAGTGCAGGCAAACCATGGAACTAATTCAATGCTGCAAATGACTGCACAAGGTGCCAAGTTTACTTGATGATCAAAAGTTGTATAAATGTGATTTCATGTGCAGGTTATGACCTAAATTACATCATCCACAACTGATATAAAATTAGACATGGCTAATAATGTTCCAAACACAAGTTAATGCCTCAAGTGCAAACGTTAATTATACTCACCATGGCAACTTCAAATGCCTCAATTGCAAGCTTCTGCATCAGGACCTGGCTCGCATCGTAAACAATCTCGTTGTTCACACCTAAGTACGAAAAGAAGAAGAGATTTGCTTAGGCTAATCACTTACACGCTACATGAGAAAATCAAACATGAGCCCCACTGTGAGACTCACATGCATCTACGTTTAGACAAAAACAAACCATAAACTGGGGCACGTCTTACGGGGACCTCACCTCACGGTTGAGTGTGACCCCGAAAAGAGAGTCCCACTCCACGAGGTCCCCATGGGACTTGCCCCACCGAAAGAACTTCTCCTATGAATGACAATAGCATGTGACAAAGATGATACCAAAAAAAAACCACAAAATCTAAACCAAAATTCTGAGATTAAAATTCATAAGGATACTAAAAAAGAAAACAGAAAACACAGAGCAAGATCAAAAAACACGTAAGTGAATGAATGAATGAATTAACTGGAAACCGCATGAATAAGATGGATGGTATCAGCAAGCCTGCAAAAGTGAATAAGGGCCCAATCGAAAGCGTGCTTGCTGTTGGGCCCATGATCCACAGCTATGACTATGTCACGGCCACGCCTTCTCTCCACCGTCTCCCTCTCAAGCTCTGGGATCGACGCCAGGTTCACTTCTCTCCAGCTGTAAACTTCTTCGTCTTCCTTCACCACCTCCAATGACATCACAAACTGTATTTCAAATTCAAATTTCAAACAAGAGAAAGACTAATTTTCAGTGATCTGGGTTTCTGAGGATTTTCAGATTGGTGTAGGTTTTGATTGTTTTGGGAGCCTTTGAGGAGTTGGTGGTCGATGAGCCGCGATTTTGGTGCCAGCTGATAGCAGACTGTATGTGTGGGTTCCATTTCTTTGCTTGCGTAGTTGGATTGTGTACGTGCACTTCACTTCATTTTCTTTGCTCCTTTTTCTCATTTCGGTCCAATTTCTTGGCCCGCATTTTTTTTCTCTTTGACTAACTTCCCACTTGCAAACTTGGGATAGGCCATTTGCAAACGTGAGTGAATTCGTTTCCTCACACTAAGTTTAAATTCCGTTTAGTATAAAATTAGATTAATGTAGTGTAGTTTAGATATTATCGCTTATTAAATTTTAAATTTATTTTAAAATTAAAAAAGATAATGGGTAGTTGTGTTTCATAATAATAGAATTCATTATCTGATTTTTCTTTTAAGTTTAATTTTTTTAATATGAAAAAGTGTAAATTTACTCTCATTTAATTAATAACTAGCCTCTTTGCACGCTCTTTTGCGCCTGCGAGAGGGTTTTTAAAATAAAAAAAAATTATTTTAGAACTAAAAAAGATAATGTGTAGTTGTGTTCCATAAAAAGAGGATCTATTATCTATTTTTTTTTTTTAATTTTAAATGTTTTTAATATAAAAAAGTGTGAATTTACCATGTTATCCTCATTTAATTAATAATTTCAATTCTTAATATTTGCATTAACCAATGGCAATTTATAGTATTTTGAATGTTTCACCATTCTCTGCCTTTTGCTTTATATATATAGATTTCAATTCTTAATGTTTGTATTAACCAAGAGCATTTTTTGATATTTTGAATGTTTCATCATTTTCTGCCTTTTGCTTTATATATAGATATTAAAAAAATAATAATAATAACTCTCTACTAGTACTAGGACTGATTTTCAAACGTGGATATTGAAATAAGGGGATTTCAATTCCAATACAAAAAATTTATGAATGAAAATTATATTCCAATTTCGTTCGAAAAAATTGATGACATTCAGATGGCTTTTAATGAATTTGGGTTCGAAAAAATTGTAAATAGAATGTTAGCTTTCTATCACCCTCGCCCATAATGGTTGAACTCCAAAAAATGGGTTTAGGTTTGGTGCCAATGAGCAACCCAAAACCTCCATCCAACCCACAGAATAAGCCATGAATATTTTGAGGCTTTGCTCCACTAAGCTTGTCGGCGACGGCGTTGCTAGAATTGCAGGGATGCACGTTGCACATGTTCTTCATGGTTAGCGATTAGAAGCTCGTATCAGTGAAAGAAGTGAAACCCAATTACATCTTTCTCATAGAAAGACTTCCATTAGCATGACAATTGATTAAATTCTAGATTAACTCTTCTTGAAGATTAAATTCTGTTTAATCATCGAAATGCCCTTATGATTTCTGCTTGCCCCAATTGGGTTTTCACCCAGAAAAAATAAACACAAATAAAAAAACGAAAAAAATAAAATAAAAGAAAGTAGGGAAGTTTGAGCTCAGAGGCAAAACTGAAACTTGAAAAAAATCTCCAGATAAAAAGAAAATGAACAGAAAGCATAAAATGAAGGAAAGGGTGCTCAGAAAGATTATGAATGGATGAGATAGTTTCTCCTCATATCAATATCAGATTAACGAGATTATAAATTTCTCATCATCATCGCACCTGCCTTCCCCAACATTAAACAAAACTATACAATTACAGAGACGCACACAAGCACAGAGATTAGGGTTTGTGGTCACTTGGACAGAGCAGGAGAGGGAGGAGAGGAAGAAGAAGAGGGGTAGGCTGCAGGATTAGGTTTTCCGTATTTATAGCCAAGAGAAAGAGGGAACAATGCCCTTCCATCGGGGCCCAACTACGATTTTTAGAATCCAAAGGCCCAACAAGGAATTGGAAATATGACCAATCTTTCAATTCTTGATTTCTTTTGGGCCTAATTCACCTGGACTGCTTTTACCAACAAAGGCTGATGATGATGTTCAAGCCTCATTTCTCGTTATGGCCCAATGAGACTGTAACGAGGGGTTACAATAAGGGGTTCCTTATATTCATCTGAAATTCGAAGCTCGATCAACATTAGGGGTGGGCATTCAAACCGGCAAACCGGAAATTTGAGCCGAACCGCACCGAACCAAACTGGAAAAAAATCGAGTTGACCAAAAAGTCAAAAACCGAACCGAACTAGTTTGGACTGGTTTTGGTTCTGGTTCTATGTCTTCAAAAACCGGACCGAGCCGAACCAAATCGGCCAAATTAAAATATATATAAATTCAATATTTATTTATATTCAATGCTATATTTTTAATCTCATAACTAATATTTATCCAAATTTAATTTCAAAATATCTCTCTTTTCTAGCTTTAATATTTATTTTTATATGAAATTGAATAATTTGTTAATTTTCAAGTAAAAATAAATAAATTTTCAATTGAAAATTGTATTAAAAAATAATTTTTATAATCTGGTGCAAATCGAACCGAATTGAAATTGGATTGGAACTGGTTCAACCTGAATCGAATAGTTTTTGAATTTTTTTTATTAAAACCAAACCGAACCAAATCGGATAAATAGTACCGGATCGGTTTTAATTTGAGGCAAAAACCAGTCCAAATCGAACCATGCCCACCCGTACAATATATATTTGAAATCTCGACGGTACAAGGGAAGGGAAAATAGTTGTATTTGAACTAGTCTTGATCCACTTGAAGCCAAATTTTCAGACTGATGAGCACTCACCTTATAGGTTAATCTGTTATTGTTTCTAAGTATTGTGCATGCATCACTAGACACAATTGTTTCTTTCTTTTTTCTTTAACTTAATTGTCCTAAATTATTGGCTTAATTTATAGAAATGAATGAGAATTTGATTTATGGTCTATTGTTGCATACATAGTAAACGGCATATATTTTTGGCAATTGAATCTTCATAATCTCCATTTATTTATTTATGCCCTTACAAAATCTCTGCACGAGATGATGTGATTTTGTTTCCTCCATGGACTCGGACCGTATTTTTATTCTATTAAAGTTTTTGAAAAATACAGTAGAATTTAGCATGAGTCGTAGGAATGAAGCTAAGAAAATTCGGAGTACCACTACTCAAAGGAGTGAAAGGATCAAGAGAGAATATCCACCAACAATACCATTGCTTGCACAGACTGGCAACTTGCGAGGTCGTATGCCCTGGATTTTGACCAAGCATTATGATCACTCTAATGGAAGGCTTGTCCTTAAAGGAGAGAGAGTGAAGCACCATGAGGTCTTTGAAGTCCACCGGGAGGACGGTCGCCTTATTTTGAACCTTGTACCTCTGGACAATGCCCTAGCATGTTTTGACAATGCTCTAACATGTTGTGATGAAGAAAATGAAGAAGAGCTTGAAATGGACGAAGACCTCCAATCCGTCGATGAAGAAAACGGAGATGATGAATATGATCAGAACAAGGTGAATGATATGGTGGAGTTTGGTTCAACTTCATTTTGTGATGTTGCTCAAAATATCCATGAGCACCCGCAGAGTTGCTTAGGCCACCCTGCTTTCGCTCCTCTTCGTCCAATGACCCCTCTCATGTAAGCTTTGGGTGTTGTAAGCAATAATAGGTGCCTGGAGTTAGCAGTATATGTAGTCACAAAGAGCATATTAGTACACAGTAGCTATGAAAACTTTCAATTATATATGATGCTATGTATGTAACCCAAGTAGAGGAAAACTTACGTGCAAAGCTTTCCCTCCAAAATTAAACTTAAAATTAAAAGCGTAGCATCTTTTGCTATTTGTTTGTTCTTTTTTTTTCTTTTCTTTTCAAATTATAGAATATTTAAAGATATACTTTACCATGAGCCAATGCATTCATAACAAAGATTGTTAGTGCTAAAACTGGATGGGTAGTAATTAGACCAACTTAAAGATGAGGTGGATGTTGAAGGTGAGGACTCTCAGTATGTAAGAACATTCGATAAATAAATGGACATGCATACAGAAGACAAATGTACGTGGTTCACCCGAATAATGGGCTACGTCCACAGAGAAGTATGTTCTCATTATGATAATGTGTGTATACATTGTACATAGGGTTAGACCCGAGGGGAAGAGGAAGAATACCGAAGGCCGAAGGCTGATGGCCGAAGGCTGAAGATCTGGCTGATGGCCGATGATTCGTGGGCTTGTAAATGGGCTCATGGGTAAGCCCATGAGGCCCTAGTAGCCTGCCCAACCTCTTTCTTCCTCTCCCTCTTTTGAAGGAGATGGGTCTTCTTTTATAGGGAAGGGAGAGTCCCCTCTCCTTGTGTTTTGTCGATGTGGGACTCCCTTCCCTTTGCTTGGATTAGCTTGGAAATGCTTGGCCAGATATTGTACAAACAAAGATAATATTTACGTAACGCATTGGGACAAGTTACAACCAAGTATCAAACTCATGACAAGTATATAGATTTGAATACCACGCTGTCTTTTTTTTTTTTTTTTTTTCAATATAAGCGAGGATATATATATGATCAAGATTTCTCAGAAGAATATTAATGTATGATTGTTCGGTTCATTTTTACACATGATTTATCATGTTATTCACCCATTATTTTGAGCTAGTTCTTGCCATTTTATAGCTTTTTACTTCCTTTTTGTGTTTTCATAGGTTTTACCTTGGTTAGAATGAAAATGAGCTCAAAGTGCATTATTGGTTATAAATTCTGATTTTTGTTCATCTTCGTAGGTCAACTTCTTGGTCTTGAATCAGCATGCTCTGGTGCTCGGATGAGGTGAAGATCTTCATGAAACTTGTTCCAATGGATGTTAACTACAACATATCCAAATTTGGGCTTCATTGGACAAGTTTAGCCTATCCATCTGATCCAGCATGTTACCACAGCTCTGAAAGTCTGTTTTGGGCCAGCTTTCACCCCCACTTGATAGCATCTTATTTCTACTTGTTACCACACCATTTGGTAACAATGAATTACATTTGAAGTGGGACCTTGGAATATACTTTAAAATAAAACTTCATCATTTGCAAGGAGACAAGGAGACAATGAGTGAAGACTTTGGCAATAGAATATTAAAAGTAAAAGCTGTAAAGGAGGAAAGAGAGGGAAGCAAAAGGGAATGTGCATCAGCCTTTGAACGTGGGATTCAATGGGAGAACATCATTAAGCAGGTTTTGGAGCTGGAGAGCTAGAGAGCTAGACGAGGAAGAA